TACAATCCCTTATGTGTGTTAATGGTCAGAAACGTCCTGTGTTTTTGGTATATCCTGCAGTACCTGATCCATCGCTCTTTGCCAAATAGCTGGTGCGGAAGCAACACCAAACACAAGACGATTGTACTGGTACAATCCCTTATGTGTGTTAATGGTCAGAAACGTCCTACTTGACTCCTCCACTTCCATTTGGAGATAGGCCTGTGACAAGTCAATCTTTGAAAACTTCTCCCCTCCAGCTAAAGATGAGAAGATGTCTTCAATCCGTGGCAGGGGATACTGCACAGTGTGGAGCACAGGGTTAATGCTGACTTTGAAATCTCCACATATGCGTACGTTTCCACTTTTCCCTTTCTTTATCACAGGCACAATGGGTGTAGCCCATTTACTCCAGTCCACTTTTGAGAGGATGCCAGATTCCTCTAAGTTCTGCAGTTCGGCATCTATCTTTGGTCGTAGGGCATATGGTACTGGACGTGCTTTGTGAAATCTTGGTGTGGCCTCTTTGTCCAGTTCAATGTTTGCCTTTATGTCTTTAAGTTTACCAATGCCTTTCTCAAACACTTGTGCATTCTCCCTTAGAAGCTGGGAGAGTCTATGGTTGGAGCTGCATGTGGCGCTCTTTGAACCTGTTGATATGTTGAGAGCTTTAATTGAATGCCAATCAAGCTGAATTTTCCTCAACCACTCGCGTCCAAGAAGAGCTGGCCCTGCTGTTTTAAGCACATAGAGCTCCAACTGATGCGTTTTGTCACCATAGGTCACGTCCACTTTAAGTTTGCCTTTTGGTGACACTTTTTCACCAGTGTATGTTTTTAACATTACTGAAGTCTTTTCTAAAGGTAGCTCAGAAAACAGTCTTTTGTAGTCGGTTTCGGAGATTACAGACAAAGCTGAGCCTGTATCTAGCTCCATTTTAAGTTTCACACCAGATACTGTTGTGGTTATCCATATATTCTCCTGTCCATTTCAGTTATACTATGTAATTCTAGGCATGACAGGTCATCTTCTTCACTATTTGTGCTGCTTTCACACTCTGTTACCTTGTGCATTTGTTTTGCCTTGGATTTGAAACGTTTGTTCTTTTCAGGTTTCTCTCTTTGAAAGTCCTTTTGTCCTGCTTTGCATACTCTTTCTATGTGGCCCTGTTTGTGACATTTTCTGCAGGTCTTCTCTTTAAACCAGCAGTCATTTGCACTATGAGAAGTTTTGCCACATCTGTAGCATTTCTGATTTTTCTTATTGTTTAGGGACATTTTATGCATGTCATTCTCAGTGTTTTTCTGTAGCTCTGTAGCTCCTTTAGCTGCAGTTTCCATTGAGATGGCTATAGATAAAGCCTTGTCTAGCTCCAAGTCTTTTTCTGACAGTAGTCTTTTCTGTGTGCTTGAACATTGCATGCCACATACTAATCTGTCCCTTAGAGCATCAGAAAGACCATCTTTGAAATCGCAATACTGTGAAAGTTTGCGCAGTTCAGCCATGTACTCAGATATGCTTTCATCCTTTAATTGATTCCTTTTATGAAATCTAAATCGTTCCGCTATTACGAGAGGTTTTGGGTTCAAGTGACTTTTCAAAATTGCGACTATCTCGTCAAACGTCTTGCGGGATGGTTTATCGGGGCTCACTAGGTTACGTAGCAGATTATAAGTTTTCGCACCCATCAAACTGAGAAGGACGGGAGCCTTTTTCTCCGTCTCCACGTTATTTGCAGTGCAGTATAACTCCACTCTTTCAATGTAAGCCTCCCAGTCTTCACTTGTACTGTCAAACTCATCCACTTTACCAACGAATGCCATTTTTAGTCTTTAAATCTTGTCGCAGACAGATCCACTTGTTTAGCTTTTGGGAAGATTCACTTGCTGTGTGCTTTTACACGTCCCGTACTCACGCGTGTTATGCCAGCTGTCAGTCACTTTCCTCCCTAACGTCTCGTTCTTCCCTCTCCGGTTAACTTGTCACCTCCGGTTGTTGTTTCGGGTCCGTATTTCTCGTCGCCAATTTGTTGTGTCTTTTATACAACATAGTATGAAATGAACATGGAAGAAGACTCGGAGATGGGTTTCAGCTTGAACGTTAGTTTACTGAAGAATTGCCGGTAACTGACGCTACAAGGTTACCATGACAACCTGAGGTAACAGTGCGCATACACATGACATGGGACCAATACAATGTATCAGTCCGCCAGAAGATATAGTACCACCCATACACTACACAGTGCATTGCTTTTGTACCATTTCATCAGTGATTGTTGCACAGCTTACAAGAAGTTATGCTAATGCTAATGTTAGCATACGTATCAGATCGCAAATAAAACTAGGTGGCCCCGGGTCAGCACTAGATCATATACGAATCGGGACGGAAGCGGAAGTAAATATTACAAATTACCTATTAATGCCTAAATTTAACCAGCTATTCCCATAAAATAACCCCAACCCAGCCTTAACCCTAACCTTAACCATCTTACTCAGACGCCTAAAACTTAACCAGTCACCACTTAAGGACATATTAGTCTAAAACTAATTCGAAAGTACGAGTGTTACTTCCGGTTTCGTCCCGATTCCGTATATGATCAGTGCCGACCGGTGGCTCCGTGGCATGAGAGCGTAGGAGAAGCCTGTGAGCGAGTTGGGGGGCGGTGCTAAACATTCAAACATTGCAGAAACGGGTATAGCGCCTTTAAAAAGATTTGATAACAGCTAAATTGTTTGTGGTCTGAAAGTTACGTAACACAGATTGCGTATATATTTTCATATATACGCAACTCCTTAGCATTTGTGACATGCTAAGGAGTTAGGGTCGTTAGCCTCAGCAGGGTCGTTAGACCTGCTCCCTTCTACATCAAGCAGACCTGAGATTGTTTACGAGTTAGTATCAGGATTAGGGTGTGGCTTACCACACCCATAGGTTATAAATCTCCAACGCGCGGTCCGAGAATTCATTCCCTGAAGAAGTCCCCAGGTTGAGGACGAAACGTCGGGAAAACTTGCTAAGAAGTACAGATGATGGGTGAGAAACCTTCCTTTGCTATATATTTTCAAGTGAATTCAAGTACAAAAGTAACATGAAATAAAGCTAACTAAACCATATACTGTATATATTAATAACTGACTGTATATTAATATATTAATAACTAAACACATCTGTAGACTTTCAGGTTTTATTTTGAAAGCGGAAGCAGTTTTTAGGGCATTTACGTCACCAATGATTCGAGCGTCTTTCTGGAGAATCACGTGACCAGGGCTCTATAAAAGCTTTGGAAACGACAGGTACTTTACTACTTTCAGTTTAGACTCTACTGTGCTGTATGTGTGTGTTGTATAACCTTAGACTTTATATGGACTAGTTTAGCGCATAAAAAACAACTTCTACACTAACAAGGAAGGTTCATGTTTGATTCAATCTTTTTCTATAACTTTAAAACAAAACTAATCAAGACAAACCTGAAAAGAAGTTAAGTTTGAAACAATCCCAAATTGTTTCCACACTGTCTATGGTAGGAACCCTATTTTACCTCTGAGTCTACACCTATGCCAAAGGCAAGTTTATTTGTATAGCACAGTTCATATACACAAGGCAAATATAATCACAGTACAACTACATTTAAAAGAGTGAATATATAATCCTTCAGTCGTTGCAGAAACCGAACTGTTTTAACTTGGATTTGAACATAGTCAGAGAAGAAGAATGTCCTCATCTTTAGTCCTGACTCTGGGACCAGCAGGAGGCCAGTCCCTGTGCTCCTCAGAGTCCCAGCAGGAGGCCAGTCCCTGTGCTCCTCAATGCTCCTTCAAATGACACTAATGGACAGATGGAGAGACTTGTAACCAACAGAGCAACTTTAAAGTCCATTCTCTGAGCCACAGGAAGCAGAGACCTGAGACAGGACTAATGTGATTGTACTTCCTGGTATTAGTCTGGACTGGAACTGCAGCATAAATATACTGTTTTGCAGCTCGTTACAGCCGAATGATTATAAAACTTGCACAAAACACAAAAGTGTCGCCTGATCCTCGACACTGTAGGAACCCTATTTTCCCCTCTGAATCTTTATCAAAATCTTTTCTCTTATCCTTTATAATAAATTCTAATTTTATCATTTTATTTTTTTCCAATCAAACCTGTAGCTACCATTCCAATAAAACAACAGGTAAAGCTTTTGACGTTTTATATTTAATCTCAGATTTGACTATACACTACTCATGCACTGAAGCCTGGGCGCTGCGGTCAACATGTTTGGATAACCTTTGAATAATGGAAGATTGTGTATTTTTTCTCTTGTTTCCTGTCCATTTGTGTTGAATTAAATGAGCAGCTCTCTTGTCATTCTACATAAGTGTATACAAAATGCTCTGAACACTTTGCTGTTAATATCAAATCAAAACTATATTATCTATAATAATCCAATAATAACTAAATCCAGTTGGAGTTCCTGATCAGATGGTCTAATAATGGCTTGTATGGACACTGTAGAAACTGTATGGAGAATGTCAAAGGCATAATATTACTTACACTGACCTGGAAAGCGGTTCAGTTTGATAGAAACGTGTTCGAGTCTTTTGTCAAAAGCACAAAGAGCGGCTTTGTGGACTGTGTGGGTGAAGAAGTTTGATTACAATCTAGTTTTTCACAATAAATAACACATGGCTACCAAGCCTTTACTTTTAGTTAAGATTTTCATGTCAAGTCATCATTAAAGGGCCCTTCGGTCATAATAATAAACCATGCTCTTTTCCAACTGATAACAGTAGTTCAGGGATATGAGAATTTCCAAATTGGATTTACAGCCCCTAAATCTTAATATTGTTTTCATTTCGTTGCCCCGCCCTCCACCGTTTCATCAATCAGAAAGTCTGGGATCCAGGTTGCCAGAACTCACCGTGTTTAACTAATCTCACTGGCAAAGTAACATGTCGCAAAAGTGTATTTTGGAGATGATAGATTAAGGACAGTTAATTAAGGATCTCTTAATCATTGTGTGCTTTTCCGTGGACAGCATGGCCCAGTGGCAGGAGCTGCTCAAACTGGACCCTTTGATGCAGAGCAGAGTCTGTCGTTTGTATGAAGGGAAGTTTCCTCGAGAAATCCGCCACTGTCTCAGCCACTGGATCGAGACTCAGAACTGGTATCCATCCAAATAACCATGTATCTATAAATGTCCCACTTTTGACTTTGACTTTTTGCCTCTGTTTTTAGGGAGACGGCTGCTGCAGATGAAGCCACGGCGAACGCAACTCTGGAGGCTCTTTGTTTCAAACTGGACGAACTGAAAAACAAGTCTCATCACAACAACAACGTCCTGATGGGGCCCGACTTCTCCGCCCTGAAAGACTTTGTGATGGTATGAGAGTCTGTGTGGGAATAGCAGCATTTAGCCAAGGAAAAACAAACAAACAGGATGACAGATTCACCTATTTGGTTCTTTTATACCAGACCAAAGTAAGATGTTGTTGTTACAATTCTTTTCAGTCGCTTTGGTTCTTTTCTCAAATCACAATTAAAGTTCTATTTCATCCCTTTCATTCGGGATTCATAGATACGTAACCTTCGTTTCACTAACTATTAGGCTGCGGTCACATGCACAGCCAAAAGCCTGGTTTAAGTGGGCCACGGCCCACTTTGCGATTAGATCCGGGCTTTAGGTGCTATGTGACCGAGGCAAGTGGGCATGCATCCTTTGTCACTAATGTCAATCTTTTCTCACAGAACAACTTTGAAGCGTGTCCACTGACTCTGGCTGCGCTGCTTTGTGACTGTCTGAGGGAGGAAAAGGCCATTTTGATTTCCTGTTTAAAAGATGAGGTAAATTACAGCAAGAAATGAGTCAGAGAATTCCACAATAAACCCGCTTTTGGTCATTATTACCATTGTCTGGACTAAAAGCCGCACCTGTATATAAGATAAGATAAGATAAAACAATGCACCTGTGTGTAATCAAGTCTCCGTATAAATGCACCTGATCTTTGATAGTCTCAGGGTTCTGTTTAAAGCGCAGAGAGAACCATGAAGACAAAGGAACACACCAGGCAGGTCCGAGATACTGTTGTGGAGAAGTTTAAAGCCGGATTTGGATACAAAAAGATTTCCCAAGCTTTAAACATCTCGAGGAGCGCTGTGCAAGCAATTATATTGAAATGGAAAGAGTATCAGACCACTGCAAATCTACCAAGACCCGGCCGTCCCTCCAAACTTTCATCTCAAACAAGGAGAAGACTGATCAGAGATGCAGCCAAGAGGCCCATGATCACTCTGGATGAACTGCAGTTAACTATAGCTGAGGTGGGAGAGTCTGTCCATAGGACAACAATCAGTCATGCACTGCACAAATCTGGCCTTTATGGAAGAGTGGCAAGAAGAAAGCCATTTCTCAAAGATATCCATAAAAAGTCTTGTTTAAAGTTTGCCACAAGCCACCTGGGAGACATACCAAACATGTGGAAGAAGGTGCTCTGGTCAGATGAAACCAAAATCGAACTTTTTGGCCACAATGCAAAACGATATGTTTGGCGTAAAAGCAACACAGCTCATCACCCTGAACACACCATCCCCACTGTCAAACATGGTGGTGGCAGCATCATGCTTTGGGCCTGCTTTTCTTCAGCAGGGACAGGGAAGATGGCTAAAATTGATGGGAAGATGGATGGAGCCAAATACAGGACCATTCTGGAAGAAAACCTGTTGGAGTCTGCAAAAGACCTGAGACTGGGACGGAGATTTATCTTCCAACAGGACAATGATCCAAAACGTAAAGCCAAATCTACAATGGAATGGTTCACAAATAGACGTATCCAGGTGTTAGAATGGCCAAGTCAAAGTCCAGACCTGAATCCAATCGAGAATCTGTGGAAAGAGCTGAAGACTGCTGTTCACAAACGCTCTCCATCCAACCTCACTGAGCTCGAGCTGTTTTGCAAGGAAGAATGGGCAAGAATTCCAGTCTCTCGATGTGCAAAACTGATAGACATACCCCAAGCGACTTGCAGCTGTAATTGCAGCAAAAGGTGGCGCTACAAAGTATTAGCGCAAGGGGGCCGAATAATATTGCACGCCCCACTTTTCAGATTTTTATTTGTTAAAAAAGTTTAAATTATCCAATAAATTTCGTTCCACTTCACGATTGTGTCCCACTTGTTGTTGATTCTTGACAAAAAAAATATTTTTTATATCTTTATGTTTGAAGCCTGAAATGTGGCGAAATGTTGAAAGGTTCAAGGGGGCCGAATACTTTCGCAAGGCACTGTACATATACAAAGGATTATTACAGGAAATAACATAGACAGACGTGCGATAGTGCTTTGAAGTCTCTGTTTGGTCCAATTCCGCATCAAAATAAGCAATAAGTCCTGGATGAAAATAATAAATAAATAAAATGAACGCACCACCTACATTTAAAAAGAAAATCAATTTTGTCCACACATAGGCTGCACTTGAATATAAGCCGCAGGTTTTCATGTAATGCAGCAGAGACGCGACTGTTTTAACTGACCCAACATGATTTAATGATGAGATTTTTTTCAAGTGTCCAGCGACATAGTGTCCTAAAACATAATGGAGCCAAGAGACACATCTGTGAGAAATTTGGACAAAATGGTCGGATTATAAAATGTTTAAACTCAATTTTCTCTGTGTGTGTAAACTTTCGTGCTTATATACATCTGTAGTTAAAATATAAGTACATGAACAAAGACTGATCTAAATTAAATAATTTATATCACAATTGCCACAGTGAAATGGATCAAACTAAAAGGTGTCTCTCTGGTCTCTCTCTCTGGCCCCTTTCTATGGTTGTTCTATGGTCTCTCTCTCTGGTCCCTTTCTATGGTCTCTCTCTCTGGTTTCTCTCTCTGGTCCCTCTCTATGGTCTCTCTCTCTGGTCTCTCTCTCAATGGTCTCTCGCTCTGGTCTCTCAATGGTCTCTCTCTCTGGTCTCTCTCTGGTCTCTCAATGGTTTCTCGCTCTGGTCTGTCTCTAGTCTCTCTCTGGTCTCCTTTCTTTGGCTGTGGTGTCACTAAACCACACAGTCACAAAAAAGTCTGTAAAAAGTATTAAAACATAAAAACAAAATAACGAACTAAATAATAAACTAATGGGTCAATGAACTTTGCTCTAAAGCTAGCATCTTATTGTCCAGAATTCATGGTACTTGTGACTAGCAGTGCCTGAAGAGCATTGCATCCTCCATTGTTTTGTAAAATGTTACCAGTAAAAAGTATTTGATAATTTTTCTTTTACTCTTTTAGAAAAGCGGCGTTGAGGAGCAAAAGCAACAAGAGCTTTACAACAAAGTGACAGAATTGAACAGACAGACTTGGGTAAATACAATATATCTTCTTTACACATTTAAAGCATATTCATTGGTATAATTGATGTTTTTATTATTAAGGAAACTGAGCGAGAAATCAAGTCATTGGAGGCTTTGAACGAGCAACTGGTTTATATACAAAGGACATGGGAAAGTCAAGGTGCGTCAATCTCCTTTAGCTCTGACTTTTATTGTAATCACTATATTTAATTACTAATATTTTTTGGCAGTGGCAAAGATGAAAGGACTCTCTCGCCAGATGGTCGAACAGGAATGTACGAAACAAGCCAACTTCATCGTGCAGACGCAGCAGGTGCAGAAGGCCGGGATTGAATGTGTCTAAATATTTATGGTTGTAGCATAAAATCAAGTCAAAAAACAAGAAATGGCTTTGGCTCTGGGTTGTGGACAATTGAATAAGGGAAGCATCAAAAAATAAAATCTACATAACATTTATTAATATTACTACTAATTTCAGAGTTTATTTACTATATATGTTTAGTTCTCTAGGTTAAGAAAGAAAGCAATGTCACTTTTTTCTTTTTGGGATTTTCTAGGAGCACTTATAACACAAATAATACGTTTTTAAGTAATGTTTTTCATCCTTTTGTTTTTTTTAACCCCTATTTTTTTCATTCTAGGCCTTTACCAAATGGTTGAGATGCAGTTTGATGTAAAAGGGCCTCAAACCAAGTGATACACTGCAAAAAGTTATGAAAAATACTTCAATAAGCTCTCAAATTTGGCAAAATGTTTCTTGATTTAGGCACTTTCTGACTGTGCCTTAAAACAAGATTTTTAAATGGGACAAAGCAATATGATCTTGTTTTAAAGATACAGAATTGTCTCCCTGGGAATGAGAAAATAAAGCAACAGTTCTTGAAATAAGGTCATATGTTATCTAGAATCTAGTTTTAACAGTCAGAATGAGACCGATTAAGACAAAAAACACTCAATTCAATAATTTTTCACCTCATATTTTATCATTTTTTACAGTGTCCCCACAGTGGTAGAATTGAGTTCCAAGATTCAAGTGGATAGTGACTCAAATGATAACATTAACAAGTTGTCGGCACTGCTGTTTTTAACCCGGACTTTACATCAGGAGCTGCTTTTACAATATTTGCACTTGGTCAAAACATATATAAAAAACTTTTATTGACTGATCGGCAGGTGGTGGTGGACCAGATCGTGAGGTCGGTGAATCTTGGGGCTCAGATCGTTCAGAAGCTGATTTCTGAGGAGCTCCCCGAGTGGAAACGCAAGCAGCAAATGTTCTGCATCGGAAAACCAGTCTGCACCAGTCTGGAGCATCTGGAGAAATGGTGACAGATTAATGTTTCTTAAAGCTTGGATATGTTACTGTCAAACCACATGCATTTTTAGATTTGCCTCTTTATTATGCTAAAGCTAGATTTTAGACTTGCTTCTTTATTATGCTATAGCTAGAGAGTTTAGACTTGCTTCTTTAATATGCTAAAGCTAGATTTTATAATTGCTTCTTTATTATGCTAAAGCTAGATTTTAGACTTGCTTCTTTATTATGCTATAGCTAGAGAGTTTAGACTTGCTTCTTATGCTAAAGCTAGATTTTATAATTGCTTCTTTATTATGCTAAAGCTAGATTTTAGACTTGCTTCTTTAGTTATGCCAAAGCTAGAGATTGTATTTTAGTATAGAGTTATTTATTTCCCCACTGTGGGACGAATAAAAGATCTCTAAATCTTAATCCTTAAATGCAACTATATACATTCAGTCTTACTTGTTATCGCTCTCAAAACAGTTTGCTTCTATCACTAGTTTTCTAATGTGTTTTTGGCCTTCATCACGTCTTTAGATCACCCAAAGTATCTTACAAAAACACAAACTATACATGTTTTCTAATGGGATAAAAACAGCATGTTGTGGTCTGATTTGGCTCGTTCTGTTGAAAAAGAACAAATATAATATTGCTTAAAATAATGTCTTAAGAACCAGATTCGGAAATATGATTCATTATTGGGGGTCATTTTGGGCCTTAACAGGATTGTGACAATATTGACTTGTAGCTTAAAGAATAGCTTTGGTTGAACAATGGGCCTCATTCACGAATAACTTCGTAAGAAACTTCTTAACTTTCTTCTCAAGTCGTTCTTCAGTAGATTTCTAAGACCCTACGTGGGATTCACCAACGCTCTCGTAAACCGCTGAATTGTTTGCAGCTGTTCTCTTAGATTGATGAATGCCAACTCCTCGTAAGTAGAGCGCGCGTGCCAGGTGCTTCATTAGCATAGGTACTTAGCATAGGCAACCGCCCAATAATGCCCATAAAAGGGACTGCAGGGCCGTGTGCAGACGGCAGAGGAAACAGCAACATGCCTAAAGCAAATAGTTACACGGAGAAAGAGTCACCCTTTTATCTTCTTTTGCCAGACTGAGAATAAAGTTATAAAATGTTGACTTAAAAGTCGAAATATTATGAGAATAAAGTCGAACTAGCAAAATTATGAGAATAATCTCAAAATATGATGATTAATCTCAAAATGTTATGAGCTTAATTTAAAAATATATTATGTATTAATTTAAAAAATAATCTCAAAATGTTTTGAGATTAATCTCAAAATGTTTTGAGATTAATCTCAAAATGTTTTGAGATTAATCTCAAAATGTTTTGAGATTAATCTCAAAATGTTTTGAGATTAATCTCAAAATATTTTGGACCCTGGGAGGAGATCCAGCGCGGACCAGCGCTGAGACCAATGCAGACCCGAGGAGAGACTGGAGTGACCAGCACACTGAAACCAGCGCGGACCTATAGGAGAGACCGCATAGACATGACTGGAGCCAGCGCGGACTGAGGAGAGACCGTAGACTGAAGAGACCTGACTGGAAAGACAGGTGCGCAGAGACCAGCGCGGACCGAAGAGAGACCGCATGGACCAGACTGGAGAGACCAGTGCGGACCCGTATGGATCCAGGAGCGTGCAGCACGGACCCGTATGGAGAGACCAGTGCAGACCCGTCTAGAGCAATGGGAGAGACCAGTGCAGACCCGTATAGATCCATGGGAGAGACCAGTGCAGACCCGTATAGATCCATGGGAGAGACCAGTGCAGAGACTCAGCACGGACCCCGCAGCCTCCTGCAGCAGCAGTATATATGCCGTTGTTCTGTGGCCCGTGGATAAAGAAATGCCCCCTATAAATTGGATGGGGTCACTAATACACGGCAAGATTTCCAATATATTTGATAAAGCGTTGGCACATTTCATTTCAAAATGAATTTAAAAAATAGGCTACATTACCATTAACAATTAAATAAATAAATACATACATCAATATGACGGACATATCACTGTAATGTTGTGTTTTATTGAACTTCATAACACCAGCGTGCGAACATATCGGCACTGAATGTGCGTACGAGTGCTCCTGAGCATTCGTAGGATTTGTACGTACCCAAGAGAAATTCTGGTTACGAGAAAATTTCATGAATGCCACAATCTTCATAAAATCTTCGTAAGTAGGATTTACGCACAAATTTGTTCTTAAGTACGGTTCATGAATGAGGCCCAATGTTAGTAATGTTTGTTTATTTATATAGTGCATTTTACAGACCAGGGTCACCGCAAGCACTTTACAATGTTCAGAGTTCAGATAATGTTCCGTTCTCTCCACACACGGTGATGACAGAAGCGAGACGCCGAACACACTGGTCCATCAAAGCCTCCGACCAAACACCATCCACTCACTCCCTACATTCAGACCTACTGTACATGTTTTTAGTGGTAGGGAAAACCGGAGCACCTGGAGGAAACCTACACAGACACGGGAGCACACGCAAACTCCTCACGGAAAGGCCCTGGAGATGGAATCAAACCCAGGACCTTTCTTGCTGTAAAACAAAAGCTCAAACCTTTGTGGCAAAAGCGGCAAAAGTATAATCAGGTCTTTAAAAATGCGGCCTGTGTTTCAGGTTCAGTCGTGTGGTGGAGACTCTTCTGCAGATCGTCCAACAGCTGAAGAAACTTGAGGAGCAGAGCAGACCCCAGACCAGCCCTGTGCCCGGCCTCTCTGGCGTCCTCCCCACGATCACCGCTTTCATCAAGTCCCTGATCACCAAACTCTTGCAAAAGTACACAGGTTTAAGTTCAAGTCTGTGAGAAGCAAAATCACAGTGTACATTTTAAATGAATTGTGTGATCTGTCAAGTAACTCAGTAATTATTGTTTTGATTTGGTTTTATTCTGTTTCTCTGTTTTACTGGAGCTAGCATAACACACTAGCATTGCACAGTGAGAATAAATGGTATATGACCCATAGTATAACCAAACTTAGTGTCTCCTCTAAAGTCTGGTGATACTATGGGTGTATACCAGGGGGGGTTTCAGCTTTTTCAACTTGAGTGCTACTTTTACAAGACAGAGTAGACAGAGAGCAAAAATGAAAGTGAAAATGTATCACTGTAGCCATGTGAGTCATAAACTAGAAAATTGCTTTGGCTCTCGGTGCAAGTCCATGGTAAACTATGGACTTGCAAGAAGAGTGTACAATTAAACCGTTTATCTTTGCGTTTGGGCAAGTAAGGTCAAAAGTATTCATGAAAACAGATAGGAAAACAGGAAAGGATTTGAAATTGAAATATTTAACATCATGCATTGAATTCTTGAAAACTATGAAAAAGTTACAGTACATTTTGAATCATTTAGAAAAAACCCAAAACAAATCGGAGTAAGAAGGATGAGGAAAGAAACTGGTAAAGTCCTTTCAGTCTGTGGATGTTAAGATAGTTCTTCTAACGCGAGTTTTTGTGCAGTGCTCTGGTGGTGGAGAAGCAGCCGGTGATGTCGAAGACCCACAGACCATGTATTCTCAAAACTCACAACAGGTTTTCAGTGTCACTCAGGTACGTTCATCCAATATCTCCGTCTTTCATCTTTTATGATCAGAACTGAAATAAAGAATCTTTTTTCAGAAAGGGTGGTTATTTTATTGATAATAAGCAGCACTAGCCATCAGAGAAGACAAGTCCCTAAAACCTTATTACACACTGACATCTAGTGGTGGTTTTTGGATATGCAATTTCCAGGTCAGTCTATCCATGCAAGATACAAAAATGGGATTTAAAGATATTTGTAATGTAAAATCTTATACCAAAGGATAGTTGGTGTTAGGGTGGCAGCAGAGGGCTACAGTCCGGCACAAAAAGTATATAATTGGAAGATATGGATGTTCTGTTCAAACGTCCATTATCTGTAATTTAAGTTAAAAGGTGAAACTCTGAGAATGTGGATATGGAATGACCTTTTGATGTGAGACCTAGACACTCTCGGAAAACTGTATTCAGAATGTTCTATTTATATGAAGGGTATAACTGTGTGCTTGTGTGGGTGCAGAGCATAGGTTGTAAATATATTCACACCTATCTCCGCCATTGAAACTAACACCTATCTGCGCCATCACTTTTGCCTTCTGTGGACTTTTTCAAAATGGCCGCGGGGAAGGAATATGTGATAAAATGCATTTGCTTTGTGTGTGTGTGTGAATGTCAGCAGCTGTGGGGGTGCATGAGTATTGTGTGTCTAACATGTTGTGGTGCTGCTTTGTTTTTGTTTCAAAGGGAAATAAATTAATGGTAGAAAAAAGTGATACTTGTATATGATATAGACACTTAGACGGATAGAGGGCAAATCTATCCGTCAAAGTGTTGATAAATGATTCGTAGATTGAAAAAATGAAAACAATAATCATCAACTTAGTAACAAACATTTTTCACATTTTAGTTTAAATTACAGTGGGCAGTCCCTCCTGTGGGCCCACCACCCGCAGAGGGGTCCGTGGCGGCTCGGTGCAGAGAGGACTGGGCAGCAGTCGAAGGCGGAGACCTCGGCGACCCAGTCCGCACACCCAACATCTGGCTCTTGGGACGTGGAACGTCACCTCACTGGGGGGGAAGGAGCCCGAGCTTGTGGGGGAGGTCGAGAGGTACCGACTAGAGATAGTCGGCCTCACCTCCACACACAGCTTGGGCTCTGGAACCCAACTCCTTGAGAGGGGTTGGACGCTCCACTTTTCTGGTGTTTCTCGCGGGGAGAGGCGGCGAGCTGGGGTGGCCATTCTCATTGCCCCCCATCTCAGCCGCCACGTGTTGGAGTTCTCCCCGGTGAATGAGAGGGTCGCGTCCCTCCGCCTTCGGGTGGGGGACAAGTCTCTCACTGTTGTGACGGCCTACGGGCCTAACAGCAGTGCAGAGTACTCGGCCTTCTTGGAGTCCTTGGGAGGAGTACTGGACGGTGCACCGCCCGGGGACTCCGTCATTCTCCTGGGGGACTTTAACGCCCATGTGGGAAGCGCCAGTGACACTTGGAGAGGGGTGATCGGGAAGAATGGCCCCCCTGATCTGAACCCGAGTGGTGTTCAGTTGTTGGACTTCTGTGCTAGTCACGGTTTGTCCATCACGAACACCATGTTTGAGCACAAGGGTGTCCACCAGTGCACGTGGCACCAGGACACCCTAGGCCGGAGGTCGATGATCGACTTTGTTGTCGTATCATCTGACCTTCGGCCGCGTGTTTCGGACACTCGGGTAAAGAGAGGGGCGGAGCTGTCAACCGATCACCACCTGGTCGTGAGTTGGATCCGCTGGCAGGGGAAGAAGCCGGTCAGACCTGGCAGACCCAAGCGTGTAGTGAGGGTCTGCTGGGAACGTCTCGCTGAGACCCCTGTCAGACGGACTTTCAACTCACACCTCCGGGAGAGCTTCTCCCAGGTCCCGGCGGAGGAGGGGGATATTGAGTCTGAGTGGACCATGTTCTCTTCATCTATCGCCGATGCGGCGGCTCGTAGCTGTGGTCGCAAGGTCTCTGGTGCTGGTCCCGGCGGCAACCCCCGAACCCGGTGGTGGACACCGGCAGTAAGGGATGCCGTCAGGCTGAAGAAGGAGTCCTATCGAACCATGATGGTTCGGGGGACTCCTGAGTCCAGTACCGGCAGGCCAAGCGTGCCGCGGCCCGGGCTGTTGCAGAGGCAAAAACCCGGGACTGGGAGGAATTCGGAGAGTCCATGGAGCATGACTATCGGTCGGCCTCGAAGAGATTCTGGCAAACTGTCCGGCGCCTCAGGAGGGGGAAGCAGTTCTTTGCCAACACCGTGTACGGTGCGGGGGGTGAGCTGCTGACCTCGACCGGGGATATTGTCGGACGGTGGAAGGAATACTTTGAGGTTCTCCTCAATCCCCCCGTCACGTCCTCCGCTCCGGAGGCAGAGGCTGAGGATGTTGGGGCGGATACTTCTGTCACCCTGGCAGAGGTCACCAAGGTGGTTGGCAGCCTCCTGCCGGGAGTGGATGAGATCCGTCCTGACTATCTAAAGTCTCTGGATGTTGTAGGACTGTCTTGGCTGACACGTCTCTGCAACATCGCGTGGCGATCGGGGGCGGTGCCAATGGAGTGGCAGACCGGGGTGGTGGTCCCTCTCTACAAGAAGGGGGACCGGAGGGTGTGTTCCAATTATCGTGAGATCACACTCCTCAGCCTCCCTGGTAAGGTTTACTCCAAGGTACTGGAGAGGAGGTTACGGCCGATGGTCGAATCTCGGATTCAGGAGGAACAGTGTGGTTTTCGTCCCGGCCGTGGAACACTGGACCAGCTCTACACTCTCCATCGGATACTCGAGGGTTCATGGGAGTTCGCCCAACTTGTCCACATGTGCTTTGTGGATTTGGAGAAGGCGTTCGACCGTGTTCCCCGGGGTGTCCTTTGGGGGGTCCTCCGTGAGTACGGGGTCCGGGGTCCTCTGCTGAGGGCCGTCCGGTCCCTGTATGACCGGAGCCAGAGCTGTGTTCGCATTGCCGGCAGTAAGTCAGACCTGTTCCCGGGTGCATGTTGGCCTCCGCCAGGGCTGCCCTTTGTCACCGATTCTGTTCACTGTATTCATGGACAGAATTTCTAGGCGCAGCCAAGGGTCGGAGGGGGTCCGGTTCGGGGACCACAGGATTTCATCTCTGCTGTTTGCAGACGATGTTGTCCTGTTGGCTCCAACGAACCAGGACCTACAACATGCACTGGGACGGTTTGCAGCCGAGTGTGAAGCGGCTGGGATGAGAATCAGCACCTCCAAATCTGAGGCCATGGTGCTCGACCGGAAAAAGGTGCCTTGCCCTCTCCGGGTGGGAGGAGAGGCCCTTCCTCAAGTGGAGGAGTTCAAGTATCTCGGGGTCTTGTTCACGAGTGAGGGAAGGATGGAGCGTGAGATTGACAGGCGGATCGGTGCAGCGTGCGCAGTGATGCGGTCGCTGTATCGGACCGTTGTGGTAAAGAGGGAGCTGAGCCGAAAGGCAAAGCTCTCAATTTACCGGTCAATCTTCGTCCCCTCCCTCACCTATGGTCATGAGCTTTGGGTAATGACCGAAAGAACAAGATCGCGGATACAAGCGGTCGAAATGAGCTTCCTCCGCAGAGTGGCTGGGCGCTCCCTTAGAGATAGGGTGAGGAGCTCAGTCACACGGGAGGAGCTCGGAGTAGAACCGCTGCTACTCCACGTCGAGAGGAACCAGTTGAGGTGGCTCGGGCATCTGTTCCGGATGCCTCCTGGACGCCTCCCTGGGGAGGTGTTCCGGGCATGTCCCACCGGGAGGAGGCCCCAGGGAAGACCCAGGACACGCTGGAGGGACTATGTCTCTCAGCTGGCCTGGGAACGCCTTGGAGTCCCCCGGACGAGCTGGAGGAGGTGTGTGTGGATAGGGAAGTCTGGGCGTCTCTGCTTAGACTGCTGCCCCCGCGACCCGGCAACGGATGAAGCGGAAGAAAATGGATGGATGGATGGATGGTTTTAATAAAAAATACTACATTTTCATGTCATTTTTGCTCTGTTTGAGTCCGTGTGAACCAGAAAACGATTAATCGATTACTAAAATAGTTGTCAGTAGATATATAAGGCACCGCTATTGAGCAAGTGGTGAAAAGGTGGTACTGCACCCTAAACTCCTCAGAATAGAGACACCGCTATTGAGCAAGTGGTGAAAAGGTGGTACTGCACCCTAAACTCCTCAGAATAGAGGCACCGCTATTGAGCAAGTGGTGAAAAAGTGTTACTGCACTGTATTTTTTCAAAGAGGTGTTATTTTGAATAGTTAGCCTCTGCCTGGTGCTTCACAGTTGTCTAAAAAGTGGCTTATTAACCAGCGCGTAGCGTAACACAGAGGGACGGTCACACACACTTATTCTAAAACAAATAGCCTATGCCTGGTCTGTAAGTGAGCTTCACACTTGTCTAAAAAGTGGTTTATTGAGCAGCGTTTAGCGTAACACAGAGGGACGGTCACACACACTTATTCTAAAACAAATACCCTATGCCTGGTCTGTAAGTGAGCTTCACACTTGTCTAAAAAAGTGATTTATTGAGCAGCGCGTAGCGTAACACATGTGTAGGGTCACACCGAGCTTATTCTAAAACAAACAGTGATGGGAGACAGGCCAATACCTAATCAAACACCACGGGAGGACCAGTCCCAGACCTGTCAAACTATACAAACATGAGGGGAGGATGGAGGGTGGGAGGTCTAAGGAGAGCCCCCGCCCTCTAAGAAGTTTTCAATGGTTCAAACGCATTACGGCTGTCTACGGGAAGGTTATACAATATGTCTAATACAGGTAATATACCATTTTTTTCAGTATTCATATTAAATGTTTTAATTTAGTTTATCTCTAGGAAAGGGTCGTTTATTGACACATTATGACACCGATGAAGATTTAACCCCATCACCAAAAGTTACGAGAGGTCTACAACCAACGGAGGAAATATGGTAAGATCTAATCTAACTTAAGGTCTTAACCAGATGCTTAATACTTTATTACATTTTATACAGCACAGGTAAAACTAAGACCAAGTCAATGCCCTTGATGTATA